TTAAAGGGGAACCAGATGATGTAGACCATTTACAGGAACTACTTCAATCAATTGCTCAATCTTGTCATAAATTAAAACGATTATCATTATTATATGATAGTGAATTTGATCAAGAATTAGGTGAAATACTTGTCAATTGTGTCTATTTGGAGATACTTTCATTAAAATCTATTCACTTTGGAGATCTGGATGGAAAGTCATTTTTTAATGTGTTAGTTCAAACATTACCAAAAAAATTAAGAGAAATTATATTCAGAGAAATACCAAGTATTGATGATGATATGTTACAAATGTTAATGACAAATTGGAAGGGGCCTAAACCATTGTCAATAAAAATTTTTCGGCTTTTTTTTGGAGAATCTGTATCATTAAAATTAAAAAATTTACTTGACAAATATCAAGATTCAGGATTCTTGGAATATAATATTGGATGTGTTTCATCTGAAGAATCTGTTTGGTACCGTGATGATTGTTAAAATAGTAAAATAATAAAAACAATATTTAATTGACGTCAACTTTGAGTAGTGTTGGTCACCAAAACTATTTTGAAGAGGCAAAAGTCAAAACTAAAATTAAAAGTTATATGTCAAAACTAAATCAAAAGTCAATAGTCAAAAAATCAAAACTAGTTTTGACTTTTACATGGTTGCAATGCTCTTTAGTTTTGGGAAACCAACACTAACTTTGAGACAATTAATAGTAAATAATTGAAAAAATTTATTTATCTAATTAATTTCAACAATTTGGAATAAATAAATTATTTATAGTAATAATTATTATTAAAAAGTTATTTGTCATTCTTTTCAAATGTTTATTTCAAAGGGTAATAGATGGTGGTGGTGGAGATTCCCACTCCCAATTATGATATGGTGAAAGCAATTGATTAATTTTTTCATAAGCCTTAATCTCCAGATCAGATAAACAATGATCTTTTTCACCATTCTTCCTAGCCATAACTCTATTAAAAATTGAAACCACGTCATCAACTTCATCCATATTTGATAATCCAACAACTGTAGCATCAGCTTTATCCCAATCTAATGAGAAATCAATACCCAACTTTGAAATATTGAGATTATTATCCTTGGCAATCTTCGTACATTGTTTGATAATTTCACGTAATTCCTCAGATGCAGGATGCCATTCTGGAGGATCAATTTCACATAAAAGACCCATACTAAGTGGTGAAGCATTTAATACATATTTTACATTAGCTGAATTTTTAAACTTTTCAATGTAATCTTTTAATTGTGTGTTGTGAAGACAATAATGAGAATAGCTCAATACAACATCTATTGGTTGTTTTTTTTCATATTGTATTCTAGAAATATTAAAAAGTATATCTAATGGATAACCTAAAAAATTAATGATTTTTAAATAAATAAATAAACGAACACATATATATACATATATATAATTTTGATTTACCACTTATTCCGACATGTTTGATGATTCCTTCTTCCTATATTAATATAATAATAATAATAATCACAATCATTTGCGTTAATATTACAATTACTATCATAATTATGTAATCATCATTTGCATTACTATTATTATCATAATTATTATAACATAAAAAAATTCTTACTTTTAACTTAAACAACTCGGGTAAAATACCACCATCTTCAATAACTTTCTCTAACTCAACAAATTCGACATCATGTGCAAAAACAATATCCAAATAATCAGTTTTTAAACGTCTACAACTTTCTCTAACACTTTCTCTCACACGTTTAGCAGAGTAATCAAAATCTTTTTTATCAAGACCATATCGACCAGCCTTTGTAAATATATAATATGTTGATCTAGGAAATTCTGATCTTAATGACTCTAGTGCATTACCAAGAATTTCTTCACTATTTCCATAATATGGGCTTGTATCAAATCCATTTATACCTATGTATGTATGTATATATATATAGCGGATAATGTTTAATTGAGTCTATACATGCATTTGTGTGTGTATGTGTGCATATATATGAAGTTACCTAGCTTTAATGCTTTATGCACCGACTCCAAAGGCCGTACTTCCTTAATAGGATTATACCTAATACTGAAAACTCCTGCGCCAAAAATTACTTTTGAAATGTCAAGTTTATCTTGAGACACATTACCCTATTATCAATTTGTTATTGAATAAGAATTGTAAAATAATATATAACGATATTGTATATATATTGTAAACTTACTTTATTTTTTTGCATTATTAATTATTAATAATGAAAAAATTTTGCATGTTACAAGCTATAAATTGTTAAATGTTGCACAAAAATAAAAAAGCTAGCTACTAAACACGAACACGACTCAATAATAAAAATATTAATTATTATTATTGTTTTAAGGAGTAACCCCTTTCCTTTTGTTTTTGCTCCACGTAAGAGCTTTAATTTTAGATGACAGTTATATTCGCTCCTTCATCATAACGGTATATTTGTTTATTAATTATTATAAGGTAAAAAAAGCAACTATAAACTATTATATTTTTTTAAGTATTGAAGATGGAAAACCTGCTCTTGAACAGTCTGGAAACACCAAAAGACGATATTTGATTATTAAAAATTACAGTTGTTCTTATCTTCCTGGATAACAAAGGCTAATCTGACTGACGACCCCGAAGATACAATGACGCGATTTAAATTTTTTCAGGGGGGGATGCCATGGCCCTGAATGAAATTTATTAATTTATTGAGATTGAGTTGCTGTCAATGATGGCTGTTAAAGCCTAGAAATTGAGTTGTGGCTGTTAAAGCCTTGAAATCGAGTTGTTTTCAATGAATAATGGCTGTTAAAGCCTTTTATTCGATCAAAGCCTACCAACATGTTCTAATTACTTTACCCATGGAAGAGTTTATTAAGGGTAATAATCATTGATATTATTACCTGAAGAATTTCCATGGACATGAAGATACGGTTGCATGTTTGTAGAAGGAAGATTTTAATTAAATCTGACACCCTAAATAGTCAATCAGATTTATTATTCATTTAAATTTTTGGATCTATATACGACTTCAATTGGGAGGCACACAAAAAAGAAGGAACCAATTAGGCGACAATGCAATGGAACCATCAGATTAAAACTCAACAAAAATAAATATCAAGATTTTATATCCCAAATGTTAAAAATTTCATTTTTGCATGGTCCTAGTATCATTTATACTTGAACGATGCAATTATTATAATACGCATTGCATAATCATCATGAATATTCTAATAGACACGATACAATAGTGGAAACAATGGTGCTCATATTCAAGGAAAGGATTAAATAACGACAAAAAAGATAATACAATAATATAGAGGTTGGGGGCCTTTTTTTCGTGGGAAAGGTTATGACTTTTCCAAACGTTTTAAATTTGATTCTTTGACTTGTTTAATAATGAGTTTACACAATTCATTTCATTTGTACAGAACACGTGTCATGTCGATCATATATTCAACACTATATTTTTTTTTTTGAGATTTAATAATATATTATTTAGAGTATGAAAATTATTATTTCTATTTTTTTTTAATTCATTACCGATGAGCTCTCAGGCAAGGATTAGACTTATTGCATGTAAATTTGAAGCATTAAAATCAACTTAATTTGAAAATAGAGATTTTCCTATTTATTAATCGTCACTAAAAAAATAATCCTTAAACCGATACAAGATTAAAAAATCATCTTTATTACTTAAAATATGACATCTGGATTGAAGATGTGACAACGATTATTCTCTCTTTTTTCTCTTAAGCCCTTTCACCCTCATTTTTTTCTAGATACAGAGTGATGGGGTTTTGCTTATCAGTGATTCTTGCAAATTTAGCTAATACGTAATCAATGTCATCCCGACTTAATTCTGAAATTTCTGATGCAGAAAGAGATTTTACTTGTTGTATTTTATCCTCGCCGATTTCATTAAAAAAATCATAGGTCTTTTAGGCTGTTTCTTTCACATATAAGATATTAGGATGGTGTTCCCTAATCTCTTCATTAACTAGTGCATGAGCCGTACGTTCTTTATTGCCTAATTTCTTGTAGCGATTGAAACGATCTCTAATTGCTTTTCCAAGAGAGTAATAGCTTTGAATGACTTTTTGGGCCTTTCGTTCATTTTTTTTTTTCTAAAAATGCCAAAAATGAGGTTTTTTTCATATTTTACAATATTTAAAATCTCATAAAATAAATGGTCAAATACTGATTGCAAAGTGTCAGTATCTCATGGATTATCGATTTGTAAATCAGGGTCATTAGTAGTAACATCAACCGAGCCTGTCAATTCATCGACAAATTTTTTTAATGTTCTCTCTGAGCGCGAAGCTGATTTTTTTTTAAGTCTTTCGTTGAAAAGGAAAAGACCGGGATTGTAAAAAAGATCAACCAAGAGTTTGTGACTATGGTGGAAGATAATAATATTGTTGTCATGGCAAAAGCCTTAATGATCATACAAAAGACAATTAAAACTAAATCTGAAGAATCTACCATTAACTTGAAAATATCGGTAATATGTTTTAAAAGTGCAATAAAATATAAACAAGAGATGGGTATAACTATATACAAGTAGTCATGTGTTTTAAAGGTTGTTTCACAAAAATATGAAAAGTAGTATATATTTACAATAAAATCAGTGGTAAAGAAAAATGGCATTAAAATAGGATTATCGAACAAATATTTTTTCTTCAAGAAAGGCATGATGATATAATATTAGAATAGGCAACGCAAAGTAGATCATAATAAAGTGTATTTTTCCAAAAACTTTGAAGACATTGCTATAATATGAGTAAACTACAGTAGGTAGTATAAAATATGTTGTCAATGCAATGATATTTCGAGGAATGGATGAATATATCATAAACTTTTTATAATTGGTCGAAAGAATAATATGTATGATGACCGGAACCAAAGCAAAGGCGAATACATTGTGAATATCAGTTGTTGGGTCATATTTATCAGCATGTGATGCCATTGAAAGCAACTATTATAAAGATGAATGAAGAAAAAGGTTCTTTTTGCAAAATACAGGCTTTATATAGGGTCTGTTTTTGACACTAGAAAATAAACATAGCTAAGTACAACATCCAAATTTCCCAAACACTACATACAACTAAGCCATTTTTTCCGTTTTGTTTGTTCTAATGGGACGCTCTGTATCTTTTCTTGATTGTTGTAGATATGTATATAGTGTGTAACAAAAATAATTGCGGTTCATGCACGACACAAATTATTTTGCATAACAAACAATAAAATGAGTTGTTTATCATGATTTGCATATCCTTACCAACTTTCTTGTCTTTCATTGAAGACGTTTATGAAATAAAGGCTTCGTCTACTTCTACTTTCTATGTTATCAGTCTAATCAAAGGACCGGACCGATACCGCGGTCCAGACTTAGGTTTTCTATTAGAATGAAACAATGAAACGAAACAAATAAAACGAATGGAACACGAATGGAACAAATGAAACAAATAAAATGAATAAACAAATGACTTGAATAAAACAGATAAAACAAATAAAACAAAAACAAATAGAACAGATAAAATAAATAAAACAGATAAAACAAATAAAACAGAACGGGGCAATGAATGAAATTTGATCTATAAAAACTGTATATATTCTTTTTTTTTTTTGAATATATTGATAATAAAATAATATTAACAAAAAAAATTGAAATAAATGCTTTTATGATAAAAAAAAACTTCAACAGTCCAAACGTCTTTGATACCTAAGACCAGACCAACTCTAACTGTGGTCCATTCAGTCTGGTCTGGACTGTTAACATTCTTAAGTACTATTGAACATAAGCAGGATAATGGCTGTCTGATCCAATACTTTTTTTCAAAAAATAATCAGATTTCTTTTATTTTAATTGACAAAGTTCTAAAAAATATAGAAACATGTAATTTTATATGCAAAATCCTCAAAACTTGTATAATTATTATATAAAATTTTGTTAAAAAAAAAGTGTGACGAAAAATTGGCAATGTAAAATTTTTTTATTTCAAATGAATCTAAACTTATTCAATTATTCTTTGTAATCATGTGAACACATCTTCACCTATCTTCAATATTTGTTGAGATGTGTGATTTTTTGTCACTGCCGTTATTTTGATCAACAAGTTTTTGAAGGTCAATAAAATTACCATATAGATGGTTATTGCATGATCAACATCAAATATTTATATATAGAAGGGAAAGAATAAAAATAAATAATGAGAAAGAAGAATATGTCAAGACATTTAATTAATAGTAATAGTAACTAGTAGTAATAATAGCAATATAGAAAATAAAAATCAATCCATCCTTTTTTTTATAACTACTAGTATGAGTAAAAAAAAAGAACTATATATACAAAATCAAGAGAACATCCAAATGTATTTAGGGTAGATAATGGGGTTTAATGAATCTTTAGGGATCCTTAAATTTTTTGAAAGAATCCCTAAAGGTTTACAAAACCAAGGATCCTTAAGCTCAAAAGTTTCCTGATGAAATTACTTAAAATGCTGTTACATGAATTGAATCACTTTTTCAAAAAAATATTAACATTAATATGTAACAATATCACAGATGGTGCCTACTCTTTAAGTGAAATTTTTTTGTTTTAAATGTTTAATTGCTAATACTAATACTAAATATTTTTCGAAAAAGTAATCCAATAACATTTTAAGTAAATCATTTAAAACAGTGATAAAAATATTTAGAATGATATTACCCTTATTTTAAATGTAGACTTTTGTCATGAGTTATGTACAAAAAATGTCACAGTATCATTCATACATAGATTCTGAAGCAACTAATATAGATACATTGTCTTATATTTATGTTAGCTTTTTTCCTAATACAATTCTGTTTATTTTCTTTGGATTTGAATATAATATTTTTTCACACATTACTTCAAATAATGTTTTATTTTATCTTGGAGTAAGAATATTCTATCAGATTCAGATATAGACTTATTATGAATAAGTGAAGAACATCAACAATTATATGATTTTTGATTTTTTTAATTCTTTAGGTAAAAATACATTGGCAATATATTAAAAATCTAAATATTATTTTTTCAATGGTCACATATCTTATATGGGTAAAGCTTTTAATTTTTGATATGCTAAAATGGGTAAAAGGTAAAAAATGCTACATGCTTAAAAGGGTAAAGAATTTAAATTATAATAATCTGGGTCCTCCCACAATACAGCCACTCATTGGTTCTAAACCAATGAGTGGTCCTGGAACTGGTGTAGTAGTATAACACCAATATAGTAGTTTTCTTTTTTAATGACTAGATAGATGATTAGATGTAACTTTACAATAAAATTCTTGATAAGTATATACAATATTGAATATTTAAAAAAAACTTGAACTTTATCAAAAATATTAATTATAATGATGACAAAGAGTCATTAACAAGAAAAAATGTCAGAGATTCCTTACATTATTTGGAAAATTTATCATTATCAACTACTAAGAAGGTTGTTTGCCGAAACTCTGCTGAGGAATTTTGGCAAGCAACCAGAGCTACTAATATCATTGTTCCTAAGCATTGATGCAATAAATATGCGAGAACAAAAAATTTGGTCATCCTTTTCAACTTCACTACAAGTTGATCACAGGATGAGAATGCTTGCAAATTTGGGCGGGAAATTATGATTTGCTGATTGAATCCATAACAGCAGAGTTGGCACTCTCCCATTGGACATATCAATGAACATAAATTCGTAAAAAATAACATAATGAAAATATTTTATTTTTATTATCTAGAGTTTTTCATAAGGGAGTGAGTGTTTAAATTCCATTTTGCGGGATGAACATTATTAGCAAAGGATTGATCAACATCAACATCTAAAAAAATTCTCTTCATTTAAGATTGTTTAATTTAGAATAATTTCACATTGATCGCGATATTCAGACCTAAAATGTGTACAATTTCTAAGATGTCTCTTTTGTATTAGTAAACTTATCAGCAATTGAATTTTCATATTTTTACATGGACGACAAATTGCAAATTTATTTGACTTGCTTGCCTGTTCATTTAAAACAATCATGTATTTGCTTTGGTCCAATGATCTGTATGCATAATTACGTACATACCGAAGAAAAGAAAAAAAAAAGTAGAAAGTGCGTACCGTACGGGTTGCTGGGTTGAATTTAGAATTTTTTTCTAGCATGGTACTCTCTTGCTACATATTTTCTATATATCCCAATGAGTTGTTGGACATTGTCCATTGCCAATTCTAACAACGGAAACAAGCAGAAAGCACAAGTATACAAAAGGTCTCTTCAAATATTAGCGATATAACTATAGTCTTTATCCTATTAACTTGCGAATGGATGCTCTAAGTTTGTTCTGATTTACATTCTTATCAACCACAAGAGATATCGAGGTCGTTTTTCTTTTACAATATGGTTCATTATTGCATTAAGGATTATGGTTTTTTTAACCTAAGGTTTTATTAAATCATTCTTCATGGCATACCAGATCCACTGCGTCTTGTCGCAATAAAAACAATAATAACATTTCAGAAAAAATTTTTTTTAATTAAATTATTTAAATATTGAAATTAACAAAATCAGAGGATTTGAAAATGCTGAAAAAACAACAATCTTAAATGTTTAAATGGCGAAGAAATCAAAAATAATCCAACAACTCTCGATTTATTTATATTTATAAAATTATTCTAATATTATAAATTTAGGTAAGCCAAAATCAATTAGATCTCATCCGGCGTGATTATTTGAACAAACTTATGGAATGATTCGGCAGCTGACCGTGTTGATAGAATGCGTTTGGGTAATTGTAAAAACGAATTGAAAGCATTATTATTACAAGAAGAGGCGAATTAATTAATTAATTATATAATAATCAATGCTAATTTTTGCCAAATTGGAAAGATAAATATTTATTAATTTATTGTTATTATAGTTGTTGCTTGGTGTTGGGACATATTTAATTTTCTTAAAAATTATTATAAATGTAATTATTTTCTAGAGATTCAATTTTAACTCATCATTGGGCTATCAATCTTGTAATGCTGTTACTGGTGAAAATCTTTTTTCTGGAATGGAATGGATTTTTGGAGATATAACATCACGTATTTATCTTCTTAATAATGATAATGATTATGAAGGGCGAAGAAGATGTTGGTGATTCAATTCAATTCAATTTTAATGCAATTCTATTCTACGGTGTAATTCATTCAATTAATGCATTATGATATTTGAAATGTTCTATTTTTGTCTCTTCGGATGTCAGTACTTTGTACGTTTACTGGTTCTCTATCATTTATATGATAGACTCATAATCTACAAAATCAATTAAATAATAATTAAAGCATAATCAGAATTTGATGGATAATAAAATTTTTTACATTAGTACAAGATATTCAATAAAAAAAATGATTGAAATAAATTTTCTCTCCATGCATTACTAATATATTTGATGCCGATATGTCAGAATATAATTTCTTTTTATGCGTGAAAGAGTATGTGAGACCAATAAATAAATTTGAAATTAAAATAAAATAATAATAATAATCAGAAAATTGTCAAAAATAAATATTTGCTTGGCTAAGAGACATTCTTTATTATTGATTATAATGGTTTTCATTTATGTCAAGTATCAGCGTATATTTGCACATGTTGCTTAAAACCTGTTGTAAAAGCCATCATCTATTCTGACTCAACAAAAAAAATAAGATAGAAGTTGAGGAATATTCGTTGCAGCTAAATTTTTGATTTTTTACACTATAGCCAGGGTTATAAATTATATGGGTTTAAAAAATTAAACTTTGCCTATTAAAGCATAGTAAAAATTTAAATAAAACCTTAAATCCATAAATTCCATTGGTCAACCCACCTTCACGTGATATATCTTTCTACCAAATGTTCCATGTAGAAAATTACAACGACAAAGATTAACCAATTAGGATTGTGATTTAACAATTTTAGAGTTCGTATAACATTTCACAATTCTCAGCAAACGTAATACTTTTTTGCAATCTTTTTTTCTTTGCATTATTGATAGAATCCAATTACAAAAAGTGTCATTAATTTCTTTCAATTTTTCTATTATTACTCGATTAAAAAAAATTTTTTTAGGTATTTATATAAGAGCTTTTTTTTTTTTTTTAATTTTTAAAATTTATAATTATTATTTTAATAACTATAAATTTACTCACTTTTAAATATTAATTAACAATATATATAATTTTTTTTAAAAAAATAATATAGACAAATAAGTAAATAGAATCCATTATATTTGAAAAAATTTTTTTGAGTTAAAACTTATAAAATTAATTTTATTAATATAGAAATGGAAATTTATGAGAATAAAGATTTTAATTCAGATGATGATAATGCAACAGTCAGAGGTGATGAATCAGAAGCAGAACACACTGATTTCCCAACTTTTAGTAATGATGATGGTATCAAACATATGGGATCTAACAGTTTTGATAATGTGTTAACTGAATCAAAACCTATTGACTGTGCCATGGAAAATTCAAATATGGATATGATTGATTCTATTGACAACAATGATGGTAGTAGTATTAGTAGTAGCAGTAGTGATGGTGATTATAATGTTAATGATGGTGATTATCATATTTCTATTACTGTTAACACAAAACCGGAATCTAAAAAAAGTGTTAACAGAAGACCACCTTCAAAAAGACAATTAATATCAAAGTCTAATATTGACAACAACGACAATGATGTAAAACAAAAGAAAATGAAAAGTGACAACAAAGATAAAGTGACAAAAACTAAAAGATTGACTAGATCACCCAATAAACAACTTGCAATAAATAAATCTTTAAGACTTCAAAGTACACACAACATTTCTAATAGTAATAATAGGCGAAAATTTATTTATAAAGTAAATGAAATAGATAAGAATGATATTTTTGCTAGAGATAGAGCTGGTCAAACAAATTTAAACAGAGCATGTCAAGAAGGTAAATTAGATAGAGTTAAATATTTGATAGATAAAGGATCTGACATTAATGCATGTGATAATGCAGGGTGGACTTCACTTCATGAAGCTGCATATCATGGATATTTAGACATTGTATATTTTCTGTTAGAAAATGGATCAGAAGTTAATGCTATTTCATATAATGAATTGGACACCCCACTTCATGATGCATGTGCTGAAGGTCATGAAGATATTATTAGAGCGTTGTTAGAGTATGGAGCTGACCCTGAAAAAACTAATGTTCATGAAAAAAAACCTGGGGACTACACAAACAATAGCAAAATTATTAAATTATTGGGGACACCTGTGGAAGCTGTTAAAACACCTGTTAAAAAGTCAAACCTTGTATATTCAAACAAAAGACCATCAAATACATTATTATTAAAAAGTAGTGGTACAATTGGAGGTGGTAATGAAAATGGGGATGTGAATATGGATGGTGATGGGGAAGAAAGTGGAGGTAATATATAGATATTTACATGTATATTAATTAAATTATATTAAATATTAATATTGGTTATTATTATTTTAAACTTTGATATTTAGATGATGTTCAAATTAAAAGGCCTATAATTTTGGAAACAAATGACATTTCTAAACCCAAACCAAAAGGTTTTGCAAACAAAAAAAATTTAGTTAATATACCGGAAAGTCAGAAATCCATTCAAAAGAAATCACCAATTCCAAACTCTAACAGTGTTACTAGAAATAACATTGTTATCAACAATTATGGTATTATCAAGAAAAATAAAAGTAGAAATGTAAGTTCCAAATTTTCTAATAATGATATTTTAAGAATGGATCTTAAAAGTAGAGATTTATCTGGTAGAGGTCAACTTCATATTCATGCCAAGAAAGGTAACATGGAAATGATAGGAAATTTGATTGAAGCAGGAGCTAAAGTCAATATTACTGATAATAATGGACGTACACCATTGCATGAGTCTGCATATGAAGGTCATTATGAAATTGTGAATATATTGGTTGCAATGGGTGCAAATATAAATGCCACTGATAGAAAATTCAATACACCACTTCATGATGCAGTCAAGAATGGTCATACTGATGTTGTGGAAGTTCTTTTATTAAATAATGCTAAACCTTGTGAGAAAAATATTGAGAATAGAATGCCTTTAGATTTAGCTAAATGTAGAAAAGACATTGTTGAATTATTATGTAAAGTTCTTCAACTAAATCCTGAGGATTATTTGCATCCTATTATTAGCAATAATAATAATGAAATTGTAGAAGAAATTAAAATTGAGCCTCATGAAGAAATATTTGAATTAGAAGTGAAAGAAGTATTAATAGATAACAGTCAAACATCATTGAATTTTAATGCATTTGAAGAGCTTCCTCATACACCAGAATATTTGAAAATGGAAATAAAAGATAAACATTCTGGACCATTGTATACAGTTCAACTGAACACTGGAATTTCAGGATATCCACTTGCTGCACCTACCACTCCTGCATCTGGAACATTATTTGTTGTGGATTTACAAGTAGAATTAATCCTAAATTTGAAAATAAGCACATTGACACAATTATATCCAAACCTTATTAACAGACCTATCTCATTAATGGAAAAAGAAAGACTCTGGCCATTATTGCGTTCTATGATATGGGCACCATCAAAATCTATCAATCCTTCTGAAGTCGTTGCATTGGAAGATCAAAGAAAATCAAAATTCTTAAAAGTTCAAATGCATTTTATAACTGTTAGTTAATATTTATATGGGGTGGAGGGGGGTTTTTTTTTTGCTTTTATAATAATTTATTGATTTTTCTCATATCTATACATTTGTGTAGCATGAAGATGCTATTAAATTAGTCAAAGATGAATTGAAAAACTTTTACCTTACAACCGTTGAATTGGATCTGTCAGACTATCCAAATATGGATGATGATAAAATTAAGATTAATGAAAACAATTATGGTAAAATGGAAATTGATGATGATGATAATAAACTCCTTCCACTAACACCAATTTCACCTACTGCACCTAATAGGTTCATATTTAACTAAAATGATCTATGTTTTGTAAATAATATAAAAATGTAGAAATTTAGTACTTTTTTTTTTGTAAGTTTTTTTTTGTTTTATTTTATGTTTTGTTTGTATTATTTTTATTTTTTTTGGTAATAAAACGGCTATAAATTATTGATACAGTAAAATTCTTGTGATAAAAATATATAAATAGATAAAAAAAGGAAAATGTTTAATCAAAAGACAGGACCTGCAATTATGTCATTTTTCAATGAGCAAGAGTTTATAAACATGCCATTAAACTCTAGAATTAACAAATAACAATATATATATATATATAGTTGATGCTTTTAATACTTTTGCAACATGTACGGATCATGGTTTTTTCACGAATTGCACATGGGATGTTTACAGTTATTGCAAACGAACCTCAATACAAAGCAAAGGAATGAAATGAATGTAAATTTGTTAATTTATCGTGTAGCATTGGCAAAGTTTAAAACAATATCACTTTTAATTATAATCGTTCAACCCCAAAAGTTTTTCATAGAATTATCCTTTGGAATTTACTATAAGAGTTCGGATCCACACGATAGGCTTTGGCAATGACTTCTACTTTACATTAGCCAAAATTTTTATTTTTGCATTCATTTTATTGGCCCACATCAACTTCATGAAAGAGATTTTACTATCTTTGGGCCATGTCATTTCCCTAAAGGATACCAGACCCACTTACTGTGGCACTTTCACTCGTAGAAGAACCGATGGTTTATTGTTTCCAGAATACTAGCAAAAGATATTACCACAGTTTCCGAACCTTTTATTGGATCTGCTAAAATTAGTAAGTTCATATGTAAACCCTTTACTAAGTCTACAGCAGCGAAAGTTCCGGTACCAGACAACCACTTTACTTATTACTATTCCATACGCTGTCATGAATCGATCTTTGAGGTTCTTATAGGCTATACATTGAGTATTATTGGTGCTGCATCTGCGAATACAACCTTTGTTCCAGAATTCATTAATTATTTAGCAGTATTAGAGAATATTTTACAATGGATAGATTTATCATTTTATATTGTTATGTTATTCTTTAATATCTGCAATGTTACATTTCTTTACCATCAAGTATATTTTATATTTTGTTTGATTTGTTTACCCAAAAATTTGTATCCCAAAATATTGTGGATACGATAGACACTGTATGACGTGAAAGACGATTCACTAAGTCGTAGCGAAACAGAGGCCTTGGTCATGTCATATTAGAGTGTGCCGTCACTTACAAAAGGAAAAAACATGCTTCTGAGAAGGAAAACTATCTTAAAAGTTGTTCTTTATGATAATGGGAAAGATAACGAATCAATAATGAAAGTGATAACGAATCAATTAATGATAGTGATAGTGAAATAAATTTGTGGGATACAGATTTAGATTCTAATTGCAGTTATTTTGTGCAAGTTCTTCAAGATATAATGAATAATTGTAAGTCTTCTGCACGTCATTCTGTTTAATCGGGAGATGAGCCACGAACCAGCCAACTTCATGCTGCATAAGCTAAAAAATAACAGAAGGTAATGATCAAATAATCAATTATTTAATAACTTCAATTATAAATCCAGAAATTCAAGGAAAACACTTAAATTTTTTTATAATAATAATAATAAAAAGTGTGTTGAAATTTTGCCTCTGATTGACATAGTGGTCGGACCAGGCGACTCGAGCTTTTGAATACATGGATATCATGACAAAATAAGTACCAATGGTTAAAAAAAAAAAATAGTTCAACATTTTGCTGAGATTCCACTTGTGAATTTTTCATTATCTGTGAAATGGGCTCTTGTGAAGAATATGTTGATAGAGTGAACCTGTTTTATAATAAAACTCTATTAGAATCTTGACAATCTTATGTTGAGAATTGGCATCGCATCATCGTATTGTTCTAACAAAACTTCCAATCATTCAATAGATGCTATAAGAACGCAAGCATTAGTGACCAAACATTATTAGAAAATTGAAAAATCCCCTTGTAAGGAACCTACATTGGATTATTTAAAATATATTCTTAATTGAATCTTTTACCAAAACGTAAACCATTCATTCAAGATCAACAAAAATATTAATGCCTTCCAACTGGTTATCATACTTACTTCAAATACCAATAATGTTAATTTGTAGCCATTTACTTTATTATCGTTAAGATGTATGGTAATGGGAAATTAATTATTTTTAATAATAATAAATTTTGTATGGACTGCATTCGAAAAACCTTTCATATTATTACTATAGATAGATTCAGGTTTGAAATTTATTCGTCAGTTAAAAACACCTAAACCGCTAAATACTAAATAAAAAAATAATGAATGAAATAGATCTGATGTCACAATTGGTGCTCAATATAGTTACCCTATTTATTAATTTCCCATTTTGTAATTTATATATATATGACTATGACGACCTTTTATGTAGTATCTTATAAAAAAGTTTTTTTATTACTATATCGACGCCGAGTGTAATTAATTTATTAATTTAGTCATCTAACTATTGATATTATATTCGGTAGACAAAAGTTTCGATCATTATAATAATAATAATTAACAAATTTTGGTGATCAACTGTTGTGACCAACATCTTTATGCTTATCATTTATATTTTTGTTGAAATTAAATATTAGAACATCAAAAACATACTTCTTAAACAACTTGTTTATATTCAATTTTTGAAAAATGAATTCAATGTTTAAAAAATATTTTAATGAAAATGAAAGGTTGTTAAATACTGAAGATTTTTATGATGTAAAAATATATGTTGGTGTAGAACCAAATATTAAAGAAGTTCATGCACATGCATCTATCGTATCAGCTCATTGTCCATTTTTTAACAATGCATTAAGTGATGCAACAAAAGAAAATGGGTATTATATTATTGAGAAAGCTAACATTAGCGAAAAATGTTTCAAACCTATTCTTAAGTAAGTTAATACTCATTTATTTATTTAATTATTTATTTATTAAACATATAATAATGATAGTGGTAACCTGTTCAATAATTTATTTATTTTGAAAGGTTTTTGTATACATGTGAAATTGAACTTAAAAATTATTCTGGAGCTGAAATATTAGAAATATTAATTGCAGCAGATCAGCTTGGTATTGAGTTGCTTTATGAGTATACAATGAAATATTTTCTTGATAATCATGAAGATTATATAAAAGAAGATCCAGTTAAAATTCTACGATTGATTTATGCTAACGAAAATTTTAAGGAATTAAAAAGTAACTATTTAAATATATTTTGTAAATATAGTGAAAAATTATTTGAATCAAGTGAGTTTGAATTGTTGGAAAAGCCGATTTTATTGGAAATTCTCAAAAGAAAAGATTTTTCTGTTTATGAAATGGTTATTTGGGAAAACATTCTTAGATGGGGATTGGCGAAACATCCAGAAATCAATAATATCAACTTTGAAGATTGGTCACCACAAAATTTTGTTGACTTGGGCAATACATTAAAAGAATTTATTTCCTTAATAAGATTTCAGGATATTTCTAAAGATGATTTTTTTGATAAATTTACTCCATATTTAATGCTTTTTCCTAAACTTTTGTGGAAAGACCTTTTACAGTATTATTTTCTTCCTGATAGACAACAATCTTTAGATTTATTACCATCAAGAAATTTTAAATTCGAATCATTAACAATCAATCAAAAGCTTACTTTGCTTTTTGCAAGTTGGATTGATCAAAAAACTTCACCATATAGTTTATTCGGAGAAGTCAAATACAAATACAAACTTCTATATCGTAGTAGTAGAGATGGTTTGAATCTAGATACATTTCATCAAAAATGTGATAATATTAACAAAACTCTTGTAGTTGCTAAAATACAAAATTCAGATCAAATAATTGGTGGTTATAACCCACTTAATTGGAATGTAAATGTGAACAATTATTATAAGAATACAACAGAAAGTTTTATATTTAATATAACTAATAGAAATGATATTAACACAGCACAATTTAGTTATGTTATTAAAAATAATTGTCAATACGCAATTTGTTGCAGTCCTTCTTATTTACCTTGTTTTGGTAGTGGTTATGATATTCGTCTTTTTGTAGATGGTAAAGTTGATACTGTATCAAGTACTTATAATAATATCAATATAGCACGTGATGGTAGATTTGATGAATTAGAAGTTTTTCAAATAATTGATAAAAAATAACAATAATAAATACAATGTTAATTTTATTTGTCATTATTTTATTTATTCATAAATATTTACTGATAAAGAACATATGACTGAATTTAATATGCTAGCTTGTTGAATTATCACTAGTTATTTATTGTTGGGAACTAACACCTTGAGACATGTACACCATTAATTTCAAAGTTTGTAGTGTGTTATCTGAATGTTTATTTTAGTAATGCTTTCATTTGTTGGAAACGTGACTTCAACAAACCAATATTTCCAATCTTTTTTGATTCATCTGATGTTGATGCTGGTTCTTTTTTTTTGATTATTTGTATATGATTTGCTGTTTGAATTTCTCTTTTGAAGGTCTTACTACTATTTTAATTTTCACTTTGTGCAGTAGGGCCAGGAAATGACTAATCTATCTCAGAGCAAATAACCTCCTCTCCACAAACAATTTCCCTGCAACTGAGAGAATATTGCTGGTGACTTGGTTGCTTCCGCCACTGCAATGGGTTTGCCATTCGATGTTGTATATGTATATGGAACTGTAAATTTAATTATATAATTTTTTTCTAATATGAAGTAATTTAGTTGGTCCTCTTTTTGTTTTCAGATCCAAGTTTGTTGTTTCCTATGCAAAGCAAAAAATACATTAATTGATATATTGTTAAAATAAACAATTATTGTTAATAAAAGTTCCTTGGAAATAACATTCAGAAATCTTTTAACCATTAACATGATCGAGTTTTCTTTTATCTTCTGGCTCATTACTACTTGATTATTTCTAAACGCCTTGAAGTTTATTTTGACAAATTCATCATTGTCTATTCTACTGTAACAATGCCTGCATAGACCTTTTCTCCACTTACACTCTTGATAAATACAAGTGAAGATATAGCAGATGAACATTTGTAAGAATTTTTACAGATCAAAAAAAAAGATTTTTAATTAAAAAAGGATATGAAGGTTGATCATATAATTGTTTGCGGTTAGATGGATCATTCAAACAAAAAAACTTAATTGTTGTCAGGAAAATTAATTAAATATTTTTTAAAACACAAAGAAATAAAAAATGAACACACAATCCATGATTTTATTTCTTATTTCTCATTATTCTTATTACTTCCACCACTGTATAATAAACAATAACAAAATAAGTTAGAGGTTAAATATAAAATAAAATAATAAAATAATAATAGTAATAATGATAAATATGTCATCGTTACCTTTACTCTCTCTCTTCCTTCTCTAATTACTAAGAAAAAACCTGCAAAAATTACGATTTTTTAAAAATGAGAAAAATTTTTCGTGATCATTTCATGCATATTTTTTTTAATAAAACACTAAACCAAATATGAAAAAAGAATCTTTATCTAGAGAAAAGGCAGAATTAGCGAGAAGTATATATCCTTTTAGAAATTGTTAAAAAAGGCGATGACATATATCGTAGAAATAATTATATATATAATTATGGTCCAAACCCAAGTTTAACCGCAGTTTTATAATTTTATTGATCCATATTTTTATTTTTATAATAAAACAAGAATTGCCCAGAGACCGGAACGTTTATTAAGAATTTGTTCAACGTGGAATCATTGACAAAAAAAAAATTACATTCCAAACAATTATTTGTTTGCGTGAAGGAATGAATAATAGCAAATAGTTTTTCAAGTCAAAACCTGTTAGAAATATTTATACATTAAATATCATATTCCTTTTCCAATTATAATTGCATATTCAATCAATTTTCCCGAATTTTCAGAATTACGGATAACATTAATATAATAATAATAGTAATAATAATAGTAATAGTAATATAGTGGTATCAGCATAACACTCCGCAAAGTTATTGAGGTGAAATATACAAATTTAGAAAAGAAAGTAAATAAATAATAAATCATTAATTTGCCATTAACCATCCAACAAGTCTTTTTGATAAAAACCATTACGTTTATAATTTCTTCTTCCTGTTGTTTCTGTTATTGCTATTGATGAAAGGAAGGCATCTGATGATTATGATGAATTTCTTGAATTTAAAAAGTCAACCTGATCGCTTCCACGTTCAATAATGGCT